GACCCTGGCGTAGGTCCCCGGGGAGTCCAGGTACTGTAGGATGTGGTGCAGGGCCAGGTTAATTGCGGTGTCTACAGATCTGTTGGCTCTGTAGGCGAACTGCAGGGGGTCCAGGAGGAGGGAGGTGAAGAACTTGAGATGGGAGAGGACCAGGCGTTCAAATGACTTCATGACAACAGACGTAAGTGCTACAGGTCTGTAGTCATTGAGTCCTGTGATCCTGGGCTTCTTCGGGACGGGGACAATGATGGAGGATTTGAAGCAGGCCGGGACATGGCAGGACTGCAGAGAGGTGTTGAAAATGTCAGTGAACACATAGAATAGTGACTCACAGGGCATTATTTCAAGTATGCAACATATTTCTCACCTCTCCCTTGGACCTTACATAACCGTGTGATTCAACCTGTGCCGTTTTATTCACCCCTTTCATCTCTCCCAGCCCCTGCATTGACGGACAACATTCCCCCGGGAGGTTCAGACTCTCGTTCGCCAAATTCTCTCCGCTCGGCCAATTTGGACGCGTGTTTTGCTGAGTGCTGCTTTGGTTAAATGTGTACAAGAGAAGAGACGATGTAAGGGATAGCCGGATGAAAACATGGAAAATGAAAAAACATTGCGCTGTAATTTATTGGGAGACGGACGCAGCCTTATTAGCATGCCGCTGCCATGGCAACAGGACACAGAGAGAAGGAGGGAGTGGGAATTATTAGGAAGCGAGAAGGGAAAAAAGGGGAAGCAGCTGCCGCCTATAGAATTTGTGAGGTTTTACATTGACTGTACAGGCCTTTATAGTGGCAGGATAGTGGATATATTTGCCTTTAAAATAAATGAGTAACACGGCTGGAGAATTAACTCTTCTGGATCTGGCTGTGTGAATGTCAGACTGGAATAAGCAACAGGTTTCTTCTATAATAGACTAGAGTATGCGTGTGTCTTATCAATCACACTTCTCAGCAAGAAGGTTCTCCACAAGCCCAGCATCAATATCTTGACACGGCTCCCTGGGCACAGTACTGCTCCTGACAAAAGCCCTAGTAGCGTATAGAAGGATGAATCAAATGCATAGGACTCATTTCACTTTGGCGACAATAATGTATATTTTTACTTAACAGCATGAACTAGAAATCGTCCAATATGTATTTTTTTTTTCAGGACTGATACCGATCAGTTCCTAAACAAGGAATCCAATCCCTTAAATATACTGTAGAGCAAAATATTCATTTGCCGTAAAAGTGATAATATTAGTGTCAAAATGTTAAATAATGCAGCTTCAACACTGAACTTTGTTTGAATAATTGAACCAAATGCTTATTAAACAAAGAAAATAACAAAAAGTAAAATTATGGCTCCAAGGTAAAGCGCTGGAGACTTTATGGGTGGATAGATCTTCTAGGTCAGAGATTCTGACATAGGATTCTGATACAAGTTTTTTTGTTTTTACCCATAGGCTTGACTAGAGTAATAATTTTGCAAGTAACAAATAATTACTGAAAAAAAGTATGGTTGATAATTGCCTGGCTGATAATTGGTTAAATAGTTACGTTATCAGCAAAATGTCATTCAATTTGTGTTTGCTAATATTATTTAGTATTGAATATATTCTAAAACTGTTATTTTCTCCAATCCATATGAAGTTGTAGTAAGTTGTATGTAAGCTTCATTCCGGCCATTATCAGAATTTGTTTTGCACAATATCACCCCCTCCATGTTCAATCTACTCAATCTTTACTACACCAGCCAAAACGATTTACGTCGTGTGTGTGTCGTACCCAGACAAACACACACACTTTGACATACATTCTTGTCTTTCTAATCTACAAAGTGCTTTCAGTCCACGCAGAGCCGTACAGTTGTGGAGGAGCCGGGGCGCCAGATTTGTGTGTTTGTGGCTTTGATCGACAGCTCTTTTCCGAACACTGTGTCATGGTGCAGAGAGATGAAAGGAGCTTTATTTAAGGTGGTACAGCATTGGGTCGATAAGATCAGTGTCCCGGGACGATCGTCAAGAGCTGAGGGCACACAGCCATCTGGACCAGAGTGATGCGTGGGAGGCAACACGGACAGCTCTGCTCCAGCCCCGGTGAAAAGCTGATTTAGTATTAGCTCTATTTTGCTCTGGTTTGAGTATAGAAATGATTTACGGCTCTCTAGTCCCGTCTTTTCAATGATTTATACCTGATTTTGTCCTTTATATATTTCTGATTATCACAGAGTTTAGTTTCTGTTTTAGTCTTGGATTTGATTCCACCTCCAGACGTGGCCTTTCTGTGTGGCGTTTGCATGTTCTTTCTGTGTCTGAGTAGGTTTCTTCTAGCTGCTACGTTTTGCTCTACCACTACAAACATGCACAGTAGGTCCGGATACACCTTTCTCCATCAAGTGCACGATTTTAAAGTGTTTTGTGACTTGTGTGTTTGTGAAAAGCACTATGAGAATAAATATGGCTTACTTACGATAATGTTGTGGGTAAGTTAAGGGCTGCACATTCACTCATTATCTAATCACATTTGTAGTGGTTGCAAGTAGAAATCACAATGAGTGCAACTATGTAAGTAAAGGGACAAAAGATGAGCAGAATATCACTTGAATTTGAAAGATATACAGTATTTTTTTGTCCTGTTGTGGGACAGAAGCATTATAGTCTCATTCTCCATAAGAAGAAAATTTTTTTTCATGATTGTTTGCCCGACTCAGACCTGAATTTTGTGTGAAAAGATGTTGGCTGGCTAAGATCAAGCATCTATGTATATTGTATTTCTACAAGGAAAATATACTTGTAATTTGGGGCGACAGTAGCTCAGTTAGTAGAGCATTGGGCCTTGAACCTGAAGGTTGTGGGTTTGATCCCATCTCACAAGACTTTCTTCAACGACTCCCACTGATGTCTGCTGTCCTTGGGCAACACACTTCACCCCATTGCCTAGAATGAGTCTGTTGTGTGGTTGGTGGTGGTCGGAGGGGCCGGTGGCACGTACCAGTTTTAGTTTATCACCACCATGTGTGGAGTGAATGAATAATGACGTGTAATGTCGAGTGTCCAAAAAAGTGCTATATACAGTAAAACCGATACATTATTATTATTATCATGTTCATACTGCTTTAGATGTCGTATCTCATTGCAATCCCATTGTTGGTCAGAAAGTTCAAGTTCGGCTCAGGAAATGAGCTGAAAGATATTCCCTGGATAACCAAGGAGCCCAGAGGAAACTCAGCCAGACACATGTGAAGTTTGAGGCACTTTATACGACACCAGTGTGATCACAGCCCTCATTCTGCACCACGCTCAGGTCTAATGTTTTAGTATCGTCACGTACTTTTAGACAGTTCAATGCCAAAACTACACAAAATCACACTGAACTGGCTGAAAGCTTGTTGACGTGAGAAACTTTCCCCCTCCCTCTTTGCCCTTACTTAAAGGTCACTTCTATTCTCCTCTTATCGCTTTATACCCGATGGTGGGTGATTCATGAACACATTCGCTTTTTTAGATTAATTTTATAAAAGTCAGATAGAAGCCAGAACTTATAGCCTGAATTACACCTGGGAGAACTTTACACCTCGGTTCAGAAATCTTCAGCCAACATCTACAGCTTAAATTACTTTGACCTGAGATTTTTGAACGGTACAACCAGAACAGGGGCGACAGTGGCTCAGTTGGTAGAGCATTGGCCTTAGGGCCTCAAGGTCGTGGGTTCGAGCCCACCGTAAGACTCACTTCACGACTCCCGCTGATGACTGCTGTCGTTGTGTCCTTGGGCAAGACACTTAACCCCACTTTGCCTGAAGCCTCCGCTGAAAGATCTCAGCTACTGTGGCCTCACCACCTGCAGGAGGATCAGTGGCTGGTGCTTTGTGTACTGGGTGCAGCTCTGACTGCCACCCCCCGACCCAGAATTGGATTAAGGGGAAGAAAATGGATGGATGGATGGACAACCAGAACATTTCATTTGTCGCTCTGCTGTAGAACAAAAGAGGATTATTCCAAATGCAAAAATCACTAAAATGCAGCTCTGTGTGTCATTATGCTAATTGTGAATGAATTAAATCCCACATGTTTCCTGCCAAGAACAGCTGTTTCCGTCTTAAGGAGGTAATACCATCAAAGGATACGAGGGCTTGGTGCCTTTGTTGACATTTGACATCAGTTTGAAAATGAAAAGGAAAAAAATGTGGCACCTCAACCTTTTGACATATCGTCTATTGAGTCACTTCATCTACTTGAAGGTTGGAAGTGAAATATACCTCTTTGGAGCATCTCTATCACTTGGTAGGCATTTTTCATCAAACTGCATCTCTCATTGGGCAAAGGCCTATAATCAAAAACAAAACTAGGGGTTCAAAAAACATAAAAACAAATGATGTGTGTTATTAGAGGATCCAAAAAAGACAACATTGCTTTCTTCAAAGTGTGAATATTAAAGAGTTAAGATGGACCAGAACAAACTTTCCAAAATCGGTCACCTGTGCCTCTTGGTATCGCTTTATACAAACTAGACTTCCATTCAAGATGACTTCATGATGAGTTCATTAAGGATTTACATGAGTTCACAGTGATTCTTTATGGATTATCTGTACTTTATTATGATCATCATGAGATCTACAAAGAACATGAACTCAACAGAAACAATGCTTCAACGTGAACGATAGTCAGACAGACGACCAGTGCCCATGCTTTTATACCCTCATATCTCCAAGATGACAGTAATGATGAGTAAGATATAG